AAGTCGCTCCGAAGACTAGGCTAGAAAGTGTTGGCCATGGTAGCAAGAGGCTGGTCAGAGTGGAAGGGAAAATTAGGCTTTAGACCAGGAAGATACCTTTTGGGGGTGGGGAGGGAATGCTAGAGTCCAGTGATTGATGGGTGGAGGGAGGGAGGCTGGAAGAGATAGGAGGTGGAAGTAAAACTGAGATTTGAAGGTAAAGGAATCCTGGATATAAAGGAATGGGAGGAGGCAGAGGGGGAGGGTCTGTGAACTCTAAGCTGATGGCAAATGTCACGAGTGTGACAGTCCGTTTTAGGGAGGTAGCAGATATCCTAAAAAAAGGGACAGCCCATTCCTGTCTCTCCGAGTACCTCTCAGTAGACTTACACAATTTTACACAATGGTAGAGTACTCCATGCATCTGTTAAAATCAACAAAGCACAAGTTTTAAAAGATAAAACTATTTTCCTTACTATTACGAAACCACCTTAGCACAGTGATGAGAGCACATTCGATTGGTCAGGAAATAGGGATTACAGTCTTGGTTCTGGAAGAGAAATTAAGCAATACAGTAACATGCTTAGAAGGTCAAAATATGAATAAGCACATGCAAGTACTAAAATATCACTGTGTAAATATTTTGCAAATTGTTAAAGAAAAACGTATTTTTTAAAATCTATACAAGGATAACGGCCGGTGAAATGATTGTCACCCCGTACGTAGTGTTAACCCATGACCCGCACAGCTTTACCCTGGGCCTTGAATAGAGCAATTTCCTTTTGATCTGACATCTTGTGAACTGGAGACAATTTCTTCATGTGTGTGACAACGGGGCAATAGTACAGTCTGCCTTTTTCCTATGATTCCGTGGGCATAGATCCTTTAACTGATAGACTAGGATGATGTTAAAAAATAGAAATGCTCTATGCTAGAATGGAGTATGGAATCAGAGTTTTGTCAGGATGTCCTATTCCAGCGTTCCCATCCCTGCAGTCACTGCGATCCATATTTAGACAATAATAGACATTTCCTCATTTTTGTAGGTTCCTTACTTGTTTCTGTAGCCAAACATTCTTAAGCTTCCAGACCTTTGGCTATGTTGACCTACAGCCAACACAGTCCCACTTCCCCCTTTTGAATTGCTTCCGTTTGTTTCAGTTTTAACTTCTATCAATAGAACTCATCTCCTGATTTGTCTGCCGTCTTTCCAAAAGCCCAGGGAGCATTCCCCTGGGCCTGTGCGCTGGCGCTGCTGGTCACATGACGAGGAACCCCTCTAACAGAACCTCCTTCTCAGCCTAACATATCTCTAACAGCCTGCTGCCCCTTGCACTTTCCAGGGTCCACGCTCGTGATTCTCAATGGAGAGTGAAAGCCTAGATTCATAATGAAAACCAGCCCCCGTCGGCCACTGATTCTCAAAAGACGGAGGCTGCCCCTTCCTGTCCAAAATGCCCCGGCTGAAACATCAGAAGAGGAGCCTAAGAGGCCCCCTGCCCAACAGGAGCCTGGTCGAGCACAGGCCTCCGAGGAGGTGGCAGAGTCCAACCCTTGCAAGTTTCCAGCTGGGATCAAGATTATTAACCATCCCACCATGCCCAACACCCAAGTGGTGGCCGTCCCCAACAATGCCAACATCCAGAACATCATCACAGCACTGACGGCCAAGGGAAAGGAGAGTGGCAGCAGTGGGCCCAACAAATTCATCCTCATCAGCTGTGGGGGAGCCCCCACCCACCCTCCAGGGCCCCAGCCTCAAGCCCAAACCAGCAACGCGCCCAAGAGGACAGAAGTGATCACCGAGACCCTGGGGCCAAAGTCTGCAGTTCCGAATGTGGATCTTCCGAGGCCACCTGGAGCCCTTCCTGGGCGGAGATGGGAAAGCTGTGGTATGTGCTCTGCAAAGCAAAGGGGTGAGGAGCCAGGCTTCCCCCTCTGTGGCCGGGACTGCAGTCAGCCATGCTGACACTTAGGACAGACAGGCATCTGCCTGAACCGGGGGATAGTCTTGTCTGTCTCCATCCTGAAACCTGACCCTCTGGGCACTGTCGAAAGGGCTGCAATCTAATTTAGCATTCCAATTGCCTTCTTTATACTGGGAAAGGATTTTTTTATTGTTTCTCTTTATCGTTTGCATTGACCATATAAGGAAGTAGGAATCTTTCTCCATCTGAATAAAGGAGAAAGCAGGAAGAGGAAAAATGACTTTCTCTGTGCAGATGCTCAATGATGCTTTTGTAAGGTTGCCTTGACCCTTCTCTAAGGCTCAGTGTGGCTCAGACTGAAATACAACTTGAATTGTGCTCCTCAGTTTCTCCCATGAAATCCTAATGGGGACAGTACCTGAGGGCCCGTGTCCCTAAGGCAGAGGTCTGGAGAGATGGTCCCTAACCACCAATTTTGCTGGGCCTGCTGGGCATGGATCAGGTGGCTAACTGGCATCTTGGGTTCTTTCCCTGCAGCTGGCGGTGAGGCAGCAGGCTGCACTCTAGACAACAGCTTGACCAACATCCAGTGGCTTGGGAAGATGACTTCTGATGGGCTGGGCTCCTGCAGCATCAAGCAAGAGATGGAGGAAAAGGAGAACCGTCACCTGGAGCAGAGTCAGGCCAAGGTGAATGGTTCCGTCACTTGCTAGGGCAGTCAGAGCCGGGGCAGGGAATTTCTAAGAAGGGGATAGATGAAGTGGCCTGTGGAGCAGAATTTCCAAGTCCTGGTATTAGCAATTCACTTAATTTAGAGCTCTCTTTCTGCTGGGGATCTCTTTCCCCCCATCTGTGAAATCTCCTTGAGGGCAGATTCCTCTGGCTCACTCAGTATGCCCTCAGCACTGGCTTCAGTGCTTTAGCACCAGATACTTAGTAGGTCTTCAGGAAGATGTCTTAGTTTGGAAAGCCATTGAATTTTAAAGAGGCACCCCAACAGTATTAAAGGAACGCAGCGTTTTTAGTGAGATTGTTTTATTAGAAGATACGTTAGTGCCAAATAAAATGAGTTAGGTGTGAATTTTAAATACTTCAGCAATCAAAATTGATCTGACCCAGTTGTGTGGCCTGGGGTGGTTTTTCATGGCTGCCATACCTGGATCCTTCTGGGTGCACCCTTTATTCCGTCATTAAAAGTGAAAAGTTACATGGAAGTATACATAAGTAAAAACTGAGCTGTTCACTTAAAACGTGTACTTTATAAAGTTATAGTTCAATTTCTTAAAATGTGAATGATCAGATCTTTGCCTGAGACTCAGCCAGATGTGTGCTTTGTGGACATTTATCTGTCCCATACTCTTGGGAATATTTCTCTTGCACAGACATTGAAAGGAGATGGGTTTATTCACATCACATCAGGAGTAGGAACTGGACTAAGACCTAGGTCCCTCAACTCCCAGATCTGAAGAATGGGTATAGTTTTAGCATAAAATGGATGCTTTAAGAGTCATAATATATCCCAAACTTTCCTAGGAGTTTCAGCTAACAGAGGCCAGACTTACCATCAGGCAACATCGTCAACAAAATGACCAATGACAGCAGTGGTTCTACGCTGTCTGGGGGTTAGAGCACATCATCTCTGAGACCCTTCCTAATCCTAAAGTTTTATTCTGTGTAATAGTGGTCTCAGATGAGTTGGTTTCCAGTAACTTTTTACGGGATAAAATCTCTCTCCAGGGGTTGGGGTGGGGAGCCGGGGAGGTCATGTGAACTCTGCCCAGTCATTGCCTTTTCTCCTTCCCTTTGGCTTCTCAGAACCCTCAGGTGGAGGGGCCCCCGGGAGCATCGACGTCCTGGCAGGACTCTGTGTCTGAGCGGCCACCGTACTCTTACATGGCCATGATCCAATTCGCCATCAACAGCACGGAGAGGAAGCGCATGACCTTGAAAGACATCTATACTTGGATTGAGGACCACTTCCCCTATTTTAAGCACATAGCCAAGCCAGGCTGGAAGGTACTGTGTCCCTTAACAACCGCAGTCGAGGTTGCTGTGGCCCTGTGTAGACAGCTTGTCTGCACAGAAGTGCCTCCTCAGTCTGTGTCTGGTGGGGAAGGAACAGTTAAATGCAAAGGATGCTAGAACTGTAAACAGTTGTGTCTTGTGGATTGTGACTCGATCCTGCTGAATTCAGGCAAAATCATCAATCAGAGCTCTGCAGTCATTCCTCTGTCTCCATTAACTGCCTCGGGTTAATGGAAACTCCAGTGCATCACCAAGCCCACTTTTGTGCTACACTGAACAGCAGCTGGAGTGATTAAGGAGCTTTGTGAAAAGATATTAATGAAAAAAGGGGGGAAAAAAGAAAAAAAACTGTGAGCCTCATGACCCAAGACTCACCTCCTGTAAAGTCTTATCTCTTCTCCAGAAGGCAGGGAGCTTCTATTCCTCATAGTCACAGGAACACTGGGATGTCTGGGAGCCGTAGCTCATGCGAGGCTCAGAGCCACAGTTTAGGTCTCTCGACAGACCCTTAATCCCGGGCCAAGGGGGTTTTTGTATTGTTTCCCCCACAGCAGAACTGAACTTCATACTCTCACCTCAACCAAATTCCCTAGCTTCTTCCCTTCTTCACTCACCTCTCTTGCTTCTGATTATTGCTCACAGCTTCAGTCCCCTTTCCCAGCCCATGTCCGCTCTCAGGACTGGCTGGTCTCTTTCTCCTGGGATGGAGGGGTTTATGGCTAAGGTTTATGGCTTTGCCAGGTGCAGCGTCTAGAAGAGAGCTGCCAATAGGCAGGGTTCCAAGGACACAGAGCCTGGGGCTGAATTCCTTGTGGGGGGGCATCAAAGGTGATGTTTCCAAAGCCAAAGTAGCTGATCCATGGTGTCCTCCTCCCCTTTCAGAATTCCATTCGCCACAACCTCTCTCTTCACGACATGTTTGTCCGTGAGACGTCTGCCAATGGCAAGGTCTCCTTCTGGACCATTCACCCCAGTGCCAATCGCTACTTGACGCTGGACCAGGTGTTTAAGGTGAGCATCCTGGTCTTGTCCGAATAGGGCCGGCGGTGGGGGTCGTGATTTCCGTCTCAGAAGGAAACAAGTCCTCCTTGGGATGGTCTTATCTGCTCAGCTGGGGGCCGGCCAGCCCACAGGGACGACAAGCCGCTGTGCTAGGCCAGGCCGTGGAGAAGGCTCTCTGATCCAGACAAAGGCCTTCCTGGGGCAGTGCTGCCCTAACTGCCCTGTGACAAGAATTGCTTGGAATGCTTGTTAAAATACAGCTTCCCAGGCCCCTCCCATGGGGCTTCTGACTCAGTAGGTCTGGGATGCGCCTGGGAATATGTATTTGTAGCAGACATCTCAAGCGATCCTTACAGAAAAAGTCTGGAAAACCTTGTTTTTAAAAAGCCCTTCTTGAGGGGGGAGGGTGTAGCTCAGAGGTAGAGCACATGCTTAGCATGCACAAGGTCCTGGGTTCAATCCTCAGTACCTCTATTAACAAAAAATGATAATAATAAATAATTTAAAAATACATTACATAAATAAATAAATAAATAAATAGCCCTCCTTTAGGCTGGAGAGCAGAAACGGAGCCACCAGAATATCTTTTCCGAAGCAACTGCTTTAGGATCTCAGAGTGCCCCTAAGGCTGCTGCTAACTGTGCCCGCTGTCCTGGGGGGCCCACCGTCCAGGGCGGCCCTCAGCATCAGTCAGGAGTAGGCCTTTGCCTGGCCTGCTCAGACTGGCTGCGCCAGCGGTAACTTCGTCTTGTTTCTCTCCCGCGTTGCCTGACCTCCACCAGCCACTGGACCCAGGGTCTCCACAGTCTCCCGGGCACTCGGAATCAGTAAGGTTCTTCCCCTCCGGCTCGGGGCTCGGCCTGGTTTCCCTCCCACGCTCAGCATGGCTTCGGTGAACGGGGCAAGGCGTTAAGCAGGGGAAGGGAGCCTGTGGCTGTGTGCCTGCCGGCCCCCGATGCAGGTCACCCCGGGCTTCCGGGAGTGAGAACCCTGGTGCCGGCCACCTCCTCTCCCCCGAATGGGGGCTCACACCTGCTGCTCCTCCCCCTCCCACAGGCTCAGTGCCCGAGCAGAGTGGGTGTGGCAGGGGAAAGGCCACAGGCTTCATGCGAGGCGGCAGCCACAGCACATGGCCTGGGCCTGGCAGGCGGCAGTTCCTTCTCTCACTTCTCTACCTGGCTTTTCTTTGCGCCTCCTAGTGCTCCATGCTTTGCATCCCGGGCGTGAGGACACCTGGATGAGGTGGTAGGACCCCTGCCTCCCTCAGTGTGTCTGTACCACCCCCTTCCCACCAGCAGGCGGTCGCTCAGCTCCGTGCAGGGTCCCGGAGCAGCTGGTGGGTCTCCTGCCTTCTCCCCTGCCTTCCTAACCCAGGCCTCTTTCTCTCCGTCTCTGCCACAAGCAGCAGCAGAAACGACCCAACCCTGAGCTCCGCCGGAACGTGACCATCAAAACTGAGCTCCCACTGGGCGCACGTTAGTATGGGGGAGCGGGCCCCAGGCAGGCCCTGTCCTGGGGACATACCTTTGGGGAGTGGGAACTCGAGGATCCAAGCCTGAAGATCCTGGGTATGAGAAGGGGCTCGTGTTCAGACCCTGGCTCCTGACCCCTCCCGCTTCCTCCCAGGGCGGAGGATGAAGCCGCTGCTGCCACGGGTCAGCTCATACCTGGTGCCCATCCAGTTCCCGGTGAACCAGCCCCTCGTGCTGCAGCCCTCGGTCAAGGTGCCGTTGCCCCTGGCAGCCTCCCTCATGAGCTCGGAGCTCGCCCGGCATGGCAAGCGAGTCCGCATCGCGCCCAAGGTCAGTGCTTCTGGTTTCCTCCGAGGAGAGGCTCCAGTCCATTAACAGTTCTGCTGAGTGTCCCTTGAGAAGCCTGTAAATCTAGCTGGGAAAACGTGGTGTAAATACATAGAACTCCGTGGCATGATGAGAGATGAAAGGGCCCTCGTTATCCGACGTTCGCGGTGTTGGGAGGCTCACAAGTGCCTGGTGAGTCTAGGAATTCAGATGGGGTGCTTATGGCAGATGGGCTGGGCTGGTTCAGGAAGCCCTCACAAGGGAAGCAGGCTCTAGAAAGAAGTAGATCTGGGTGAGCAGACAGGTGTGGAGAGAGCACATAAGGGCGTGTGAGGTGTGGATCTGTCTAGCTCAGGGTGTCTTCACCTCGGTCCAGCTGCCGTTTGGGTCTGGATGATTCTTTCCTGGGGGTGGAGGGAGGCTCTCCTGGGCCCTGAATTGACATTTAGCAGCACCCTGGTCCCTCCTTGCTAGATGCCAGGGGCGCCCCCTCCTGGAGGGAGTTGCTCCCAGTTGAGCATCAGTGGTCCAGCTGGCAGAGGAAGAAGAGGAGGGTAAGTTCAGACCATATCGTGATGTAGAGGAGGATTTGTGAGCAAGAGCCGACCTGTGACAAGCAGAGGAAGGGCCCCTCTGCCCCCTTCGCGGAGATGGAAGCAAGGGCTCTGGAATCCAGAGAGACTTGGCTTTGCTTTTCTTTTTTAAATTTTTGTTAAAAAAAAAGTTTTAAGATACATAAAGGTGTACATACCACTATATGTGATTTCACATAAATGCATTAATGTGATGGTATCATGTAAACTGTTTCTGCTTCAATGCAACCTTTTTTTCCCCTTTTCTTCTTTTTGGATCCCCTCCCCTCCCCTCCCCCCACGTCACCTCTGCTCCCTGTGACAACCCACGTCGACACCTTAGCATACTTTTTTCCAGGATTTGCCCATGCTTTTAGTGTAAGCTGCACACACAAATCCCCACAGCCATTTTTAAAAAAAAAGGTTTTTAAGTCTTTTGTTCCTTTGCAGGGAGGTATTCAGGTTTGTTTACTTATTTACTTATTTATTTGATGGAGGGACTGGGGATGGAACCCAGGACCTCATGCATGCCAAGCACACGCTCTACCACTGAGCTGCACCCTCCCTGCCCCCAGCAGTTTTATGCGCACACACACATCACACAGAATGTTGAAAATGGGAACATGTTACACACACTCACTGTCCCGTGGGAATTCTTCTAAGTCACCTTGGCATTGCTCTAGATTTGTTGTTTTTAAATGGCCATGTGAGATTCCATGTGTGGCTCTGCCAAAAATTTTCTAATCGTTTTGCTTCTATGGGCACATTTTGCTTCTAGTTTTTATGCCCTGTGACCAAAACTGCAATAAATGTCTTTGCATGTATTTTTCTTCCTCGCACTTTTACTTCTATAGGACAGAAAACCAGACATGAGATTGCTGAGTGGACAGGCATTTTAAATTTTATTAAATATTGCAAGATGGGTTCCCAAAAAAGTCTGTGATAATTCACATACCCACCAGCAAGACCTACGTCTGCCAGCAGTTGATATCAGCAGCCTTTTAAATATTTCCCCCACTATGGTATGAGGGGTGTCTCCTTGTTTCCTTTGACTTTCTTTGCTTGTTGGCAGGTGAGTGCCTTCCCACGGAGTCTGGTCCTTGGACTTGCTCACCGTGAGATGCTGGTTTGCGGGCGTGGCCTCTCTTTTGCAGGCTTCTGTTCATCTGTGAGAGTCCTTTGTTATTCAAATATTAACCTGTCTTTTAGGCTGAAGATACTTTTCATTTCTATTGTTTCTTAACAATGTTTATGGTATCCCTTGCCACAGGGAGAGTTTAAATTTTTATGTGGTCAGATATGTGTCTCTTCTCTTCTGCAGCTTCTGGGTTTCCAGTCTTGGTAAAGCAGGTCAGCCCCCACCCTCAGACTGTACACGCAGTCTCCTAGGTTCCCTTTCAGGATTCATGTGGTTTTGGGTTCTCTGCTATGATCTTTGTATACGGTACGGAACAGGCCTCCCGCTTCGTTTTCCCTCAGGTGGATACTAACCATGCCAGCACCCTGTTAAATGCTCTGTCTTTTACTCCTGGAATTGAACTACCACCTTCATCATATAGTCTCATATTTAATTGTTTTTGAGACTTTTTAAAAAGACAAAAGGGGATCAGCACCAACAGGCCACTCATTTTAGCGGTGGTCTGACTGAACCTCGGCGCCCCGCCTTCACCTCCTCCTGCCCCCCTTTCAGGTGCTGGGGGCGGACGACGGGGCGGCCCCCCTGCCCGCTGCAGGACCAGTGAAAGAGGAGAAACTCCCGCTCAGAGAGGGGCTGTCTCCTCTGCTTCCGGTCCAGCCCATCAAGGAGGAAGAAATCCAGCCTGGGGAGGAAGCACCACACTTAGGGAGGCCCATCAAAGTCGAGAGCCCACCCTTGGAAGAATGGCCCTCGCCTTGCCCGTCTGTCAAGGAGGAATCGCCCCACTCCCCCACCCCCAGGCCCAAGAAGCCCTACAGTGGGCTCCGGTCGCCAGCCCGCTGCGTCTCCGACATGCTCGTGATTAAACGGCGGGAGAGGCGGGAGATGAGCCGGTCTCGAAGGAAACAGCACTTGCGGCCGCCCTGTCTGGACGAGCCGGAGCTGCTCTTCTCCGAGGGCCCTGGGGCTTCCCGACAAGCTGCGGACCTCGCTGCCCCCCTGGAGGCCTCGCAGCCTGGCCCCCAGCTTGGCTGCTCCCAGGAGGAGAGAGGACCTTTTAAGACACCCATTAAGGAGACGCTGCCCATCTCCTCCACCCCGAGCAAATCTGTCCTCCCCACGACCCCTGAGTCCTGGGCGCTCACACCCCCAGCCAAAGTGGGGGGGCTCGATTTCAGCCCAGTTCGAACCCCCCAGGGTGCCTTTGGCCCCCTGCCTGACTCCCTGGAGCTGACAGATCTTACCACCACCCCGCTGAAAAGCATCCCCCTCTTTGACTCGCCCCAAGAGCTCCTCAATTCTGAGCCCTTTGACCTTACCTCTGACCCCTTCAGCAGCTGTTCCCCCTCAGAGATGGAAGTCCCCAAGCTCGGCTCCACCGAGCCGCAGGTCGCCAGCCTCTCTGCCAACCGGTCTCTGACAGAAGGCCTGGTGCTGGACACGATGAATGACAGCCTCAGCAAGATCCTGCTGGACATCAGCTTCCCCGGCCTGGACGAGGACCCGCTGGGCCCCGACGGCATCAGCTGGGCTCAGTTCATCCCCGAGCTGCGGTAGAGACAGGGCCTACCTCTCGCCGCTCCAGCTGTCCGCTCCCGGCACATACGTGGCTGGCCCCTCTAGCTTCTAGTGAGGACAGCAAGCAGGGAGCTGCCGCCCCTCCAGCCCCACCTTACCCAGCGACGCCAAGGCAGATGTCACGCCGGAATCGCCACTGGGCCTTCTGCCAGCAGCAAGGTCCCGGTAACCGGTCTCTGCGCCACCCGCAGACCCAGAGAGAATCCGACTCCTCACTCCCTGTTCGGAGCTGAGGCTGAGAACAGCAAAAACAAGGGTGAAGAGAGAGGAGGAGCCCCCTAGACTTTGCACCTGTGCCCGGCAGCCTCCCACCTTCCCTGCTCCGTGCAGGGCCGCCCTTGTAAATAGTGTATATGTTCCGAATTATCCTCTAATTATAAACGTCCGCCTGTCTCCTTAGATTGTTATCCAGAGACTGCCAGGAGGTGGCTAGGATGTCGAGGGTCTGTTTGCTTCTCTTCCTTGCTTGTGGTTCCTGGGGGAGGGAGGGCCTGGGGTGCACGGTTTCTTCAAGGCCCAGGTACCTCCCCCACGGGTTCCTCACCGTAGGCGCCCAGAGTGAGTGGCTCTGCTCACCAGGGTACCTCCTACCACCCCTCCCTCCCGCCACCCCGGGTTTCCAATTCAGCTCTCCTGCAGGAAGAATTCCCGGTAAAACATGTCCCTCGAGATGGGTCAAGAGCCAAATGGGGGTGGGGGGAATGGAGGACAGTGGAGCAGAGTGGGTGCCCTGGCGTGTCCGAGAGCCATTTCTCGGATCAGGGCCCTAATCATGCCAGAGAGACGTACAGAACTTGGCCCGGGGCTCCAAGAGGCGGGAGGGCAGCCCGCCTGCCTGCCTTAGCTTTCACAACTCAGCTCTGCGCAGAGCCAGGCCGGGCCCCAGCTGACCGTGTGTCAGGCAAGCAGCTCCAGAACACTACTGCCACCCGCTACTCAATAAAACCCAGGGTGGAGATGCTGGTCTGCGGCGTGCTGCTGTCCGGTCCCTGCGGCGTGAGGAGGGGGTGGAAGGGAAAGTGCGTGATGATGAAGATGGTGGTGATGGGGAAGAGGCACAGCCTGATGCCCACACGGAGCCCTGGAAGAGGGCACGAAGGGCTTCAGTCCGCTCCCCTACCCTAACCCCAAACCTACTCCCCCACCCCACCCCCGGCTACACACACAGCAGTCCACAGTTTCCCAGTGCTGGTCCTGCACAGCCGGCCTCTTTTGGGAATCTCTGAACCTGCTGGCTAACGTAGGCCTTTCAGAGTTCCCCAGTAAGAGAAAGGCCTACTCAGGGGCACCCCCCAACCTCGGAAGGATGGGCTCGGTTACAGATGCCTCCTGACCACCTCCAACCCTACCCAAGGCCCGGAAGCCAGCCTGCCCTCCCCCTCCTTCCTAGGCAAGTCCCTTCCGAGTCCTGTCCCCTGCCTCCCTCACTGGAGACAGACGCAGCTGGGCCCAAGGCGCTGAAAAGCCCTCCCAGGGAGGAATAAGGACCTCCTCCCTGCGTCACCACCCAGGAAGTGTCACCGTGGCAACCGCAGCGGCAAACAATGCTGCCAAGAAGGACTTCTCTCCAGAGCTGCCCCTCCTGGTGGTCAGGCCCAGAAGAATGGCCAGCAACGTGCAGAGGTCACCCTCAGGGCAGAGTAACCCATCCCGCGTCAGGGAACCTTTTCTGAAGGTAGGGGCCAGGGCTGCATCTCTGCACTCCGCTGGGTGAGGGGCTGCCCCCCGCTCCAGGTGGGCCATGCTTTCCCCTGGGCTGCAGCGCCCCGGCCCGGGAACCGTCTGCCGTCTTCCTCTCTTGGTCCTGGAATCTTGTGACACGGAGCTCAGGACAGAGGAGAGATGACGTCTGGTTAACATCTCCCAGACCTGCCCCCAGAGTGCTCGTTTAGAACTGACAGGGGATGGGGCCCAAGAAACAGGTGGGTTTGGGGGCGTCAGAAAAGTCCTAGGAGCAGGGGAGAGAGGTTTAGACGTGCACAGGCCTGGTCCCAGGCCTGCTGCTGCCTCACGCAGCACCGTGCACCGCGCACCGCGGGCGACTCATCCACCCTCTTGCCTTCTGCGTCTTTGAGCTGGAGCAACAACCATGCTTGCACGCAGGTTGTGAGGGTTAAATGAGATGTGGATAAATATTTGGCGAAATGTCAAATACACATTTTCCACTGTTTATTTCACGGGGAGGGGGCGCCAGAAACGGAAGGAACCGACATTCCATCCCCGGAGCTTTGTGCACTTGCTCGTATCTTAATGAGACAGTGATGGGGCAGACGCACTCAGGACAGGAAAGCAAGTGGCAGGGGCCCTGGGACAGAAAAGCGCCGGCCCCGTTCTCTGGAGAAAGATTTCCCTTCTACCCTCGGCCGGCCGAGGGCCTTTTCCCCTCACATTTCCTCAGGCCCCACGTGCAGGGAGGAGCACCAGACCCGGGGCAGGGATGGGGGAGTGAGGAGGGGGACACTGAGCGGAGGAAAGAGCGGGGGAGGTCCGAACCGCAGCCTGACAGCTGG